CCCCAAAACCCCAAAACCCCAAAACCCCAAAACCCCAAAACCCCTGACTTTGGTCAGGATATAGAGATTCAATATTTATAAAAAAAGATTTTGATGAATTTGGAGAAAAAATTTTTGGAAAATTTTAAGGTATGAAGAAGAGCAAAAGCAGACTTAATGGTTGTGAAGAAGGGAATTTATGAGGGATTTCGAGGAATGGAGATGTTAAATCTTTGGTTTAGGGTTTTAATAATTCACATAGAGACTACCTTGTTGGTGGTTATTTAGTTTCATAACCAAAGACTTCTCATCTCTACTATGTTTAACATCAAAACATGCCTACCGAAACTTGGACTTTCCATGAAAAGATATACTAAAAACCTAACTTGTGCGAGCTTTGCTACTCTAAGAGGAACAATGGAAGATACGGAAATGAAAAAGAAAGACCCTGAGATGTACTCTCTTGTAAGAGAAGAGATCGATAGACAAAATGATGGCATCATTCTCATTGCTTCTGAAAACTTTGCATCAAAAGCTGTAATGCAAGCTGTAGGCTCCCACCTCCTTAACAAGTACAGTGAAGGATACCCGGGGCAAAGATATTATGGAGGCTGTATGGTGATTGATAAGATTGAGTCATTGTGCCAGAAAAGAGCCCTCCAAGCATATGGAGCTAACCCAGATGAATGGAATGTTAACGTACAACCTCTTTCAGGAGTTCCAGCTAACTTTGCAGTCTATACAGGCTTAGTCCCTCCTGGTGGAAGATTAATGGGTCTGGACCTTCCTGCTGGTGGCCATCTCTCCCATGGGTTTAAGACACCAGCCAGAAATGTATCTGCAACAAGTTTGTATTGGGACACTAAGCCTTATAGTGTAACAGAAAAAGGATTTATTGATTATGACGCTGCATATGACATAGCACAAGAGTTTAAGCCTAATCTGCTGATCTGAGGATACTCATCTTACCCAAGAGACCTTGAATATTCAAGATTTAGAGAAATTGCAGACAGTGTAGGAGCTCTCTTATTAGCTGATGTAGCCCATTTCTCGGGACTCTTGGTTTCTGGGCTTCTTAATAATCCTTTTGAATACGCAGATATTGTAACTTCAACCACACACAAATCTTTAAGAGGCCCTAGGGGAGGCTTAATCTTCAGCAGAAAAGAGCTTTCAGATTTAGTTGATGATGGAGTATTCCCTAAAATGCAAGGAGGTCCACACAACCAGACTATTGCAGGAATTAGCGTAGCTCTTCATGAAGCAATGCAACCAGAGTTCAAGGAGTATTCAAAGCAAGTGATTAAAATTCAAAGAAGTTGTGAGAAGAAATGATTAAAAGAGGTCATACTCTTGTAACAAATGGCACTGATAATCACATTATTTTATGGAACCTTCGTCCACATGGATTGACTGGGTCAAAGTTTGAAGCAATCTCAGATCATACAAACATCACTCTCAACAAGAACACTATTGCTGGGGACAAATCTGCATTGACTCCTTATGGAATCAGGCTTGGAACGCCAGCTTGAACTACCCGTGGATACAAAGAAGAGCACATGGAAGATGTCGCCAGCTTCTTAGACAGAATCCTTCAAGAAGCTCTTAAGATCCAGAATGAAAGAGGCAAAAAGCTCTCAGCCTTCAAGAGAGGACTCACAGAGAGTGACGAAGTCAAGAAGATATCCCAAGAAGTAAGGGACTTTGCAAGACAGTTCGAGCTGCCAGGACTTCAGATCTAAAGTAATTCTATTTTCATCAATTTTAAGTCAGATTTTGGGGTTTTGGGGTTTTGGGGTTTTGGGGTTTTGGGG